GAGGGCACCTCAAATGGGAGCAGGAGGAGGGGCACCTCAGATGGGGAGAGGAGGATGGGGGTACCTCAGAGGAGGAGGGGAGCACCTCAGTTGGGGGCAGGAGGTGGGGGCACCTCAGATGGGGAGAGGAGGATGGGGGTACCTCAGATGGGGAGAGGAGGAGGGGTTATCTCGGGAACACAGGACCTGGCGGCCTCTGAGAAGAGTGAGATGGACCGACTGGAGAGGTGGCTGTCCAGAGGAGCATGGGTCAGTCAGAGAGTTGGCCAGGGTCAGAGTGGGGGTCCCTTCAGATGGCTGGGCTGAGGACCTTGACTTCTTCCAGGAGCCTGTGGGTGTGGAGCCTCTGAGGGTGTTTATATAGAAAGATGACTTAGTAAGAACAGTGTTTTAGGAGTCCATCCAGGCAAGGACAGGGAGATGCTGGTTCCACTTAGTCCTTTCTCATGTCCGTGTTGTCAGGAGCAAAGACCAGTGTAGAAGGGTGGAAAATGGCCGTGGGCCTGTGGGCAGTCTGCCTGGACAGGCCACGTCTCCACTCGTTTTCCCAGCTCTTCTCCTGGGTTTCTTACCACTGCTGTTCTGTGCCTCCAACCTCAGAACGGACACGATGCCGCTTTACTCTCTGACTCTGCCCCACCTAGGCTGGACATTGCATCTGGTGGGGACCCTCCTAGGGGTTTATGCAGGTTTCCAGGTGCTGGGGTAGAGGAGCAGGAAGGGAGCAAGAAAGAAAACAAAAGGTATAAACGGAACCTCGGGGGACGTTTGCACCTGCCCCCTTTCTCTGCCACCCCACTCTGGTGTGCCTGTCAGTAAAGCCCCAGCGTCCCTCCCCTTGGCGAGTCTCTCCCTACGTTCTACTCTCCCCACGAGCAGGAAGGGCTTGGCTCCCACTGGCGTGGTGGCCTGCTGGGGAGCAGTGTGCAGGCTCAGCCGCGAGTTCTCCAGTGAGTCCCTGCCCTCTGATGAGGGAATTGCTTTAAAGTAAGCATTTAGTGCAGGGGTCCTCAAACTTTTTAAATAGGGGGCCAGTTCACTGTCCCTCAGACTGTTGGAGGGCCGGACTGTGGGCCCCGGGACTAGTCGACTGCTAAGCAGGACAGGCAGCGGTGGCAAAAACACCCGACAGGCTGGATAAATGTCCTAGGCAGGCTGCATGTGGCCCATAGGCCAGAGTTTGAGGACGCCTGATTTAGTGGGAAGTGCATGAAAAACAAATCAAAACAAATCAGTTACTGTGAGATGGACTTTGAAATCCAATGCAGCCCTTGTAGACTGTGCTCCTCGGGTAACCACTGTTCCTAAAACTACTGAGTGGTGTCTCAAGGAGGTGGAACTTTTACCATAAACTACTTTGTGCCATAGTGAAGAACTGAAATTAGTTTGAACATACTACTTTGCTGAATGTGCTTAGCCTATGAATGGCGATAATATACTCATTCAGAGAATTATGAGTGAAATGTATACTTGTTTGTATCAGCCTAGTTAAAAACCACCAGTTCCTTTAATAGAGAAGCTAGACACTTAGACAGTACTTGTTTATGTTTTCAGGGTTATGATTTTTAGAACCTTAGGCATTATGTAAGCAAATGAGCATGGCTGTGTTCCAGTAAAACTTTATTTGCAAAAACAGGCATTGAGTCAGATTGGGCTTG